TGACTGGACCTGATCGCTTGGTTGTCCTGCAGTCCCACAGTTGTTTGCACTGGGACTGGTGCTGCTCAGTGTATTTGTAAATGACACACATAAGGTGTGAGCATGCAGGTGAGGGACTCTACTGAGGATGTGACAATACTCAGAGTTGTAAGGGCAGGGGATGATTGTAAAGCGTTGCAGAAGACCCTTATGAAGCTGTGTGACTGGTCAATAAAATGATGGAAGAAATTAGATTCAAATTGAAGTAAAATGATGCATGTAGTGAAGATTTGTCTAAGATTTTTCCACATAGGAAATGGCGGAGTCTGACCATTACCACTTGGCAATGCAATCTTAGGACTGTGAAAGAATTTCATGAAAGGCTAGTTCAATACTCACTAATGGTCAAAAGCCAAAATAGATATTATAAGCCATGAGGAAAATTATAACCAAAACAGAGTATTATTATGCCACTATGGAAACCTATTGTTTATGTGCATCTTGAACACTGTATGCAATTCTGGTTCTCTTGCCTCAAAAAAAATATGATAGAACTGGTAAAAAATGTCAGAAAGACAACAAGGTTGATCACAGGTTTGGAATAAACACTGTATGAGAAATGACCAAGTAAGTAAAACTTCAGTCTGTAAAATAAATGGGCTGGGGGAGGTCTACAGGATGGTGAATGTCACTGCAGGGATGGGTAGGGATTAAATGTTTAACTTTTGTCCCCACACAAGAGACAAGGAGTATCAAAGCTGTAGGGCTCATGTTCACGACAAACGAGAGATACCTTGCACATCTGTAGAGGTTCTCACAGGAGAACGCATGCTGGAAGTTAGCATGAATTCAACATGAATAATAACATGAATGTACCTTGACAGTGAGATCTCCTAAGAATAACTACCTGAAGTAGCCTGCTGGGATGCAAGTGGAATACTTAAAGCGGACTTACAGGAAAGATGGAGAAAGACTTTTTACCAGGGCCCATAGAGACAGGACAGTAATGGTTTTAAACTGGAAGAGGGTAGATTTAGCTTGAGTGTAAGGAAGAGGGTTTTTTTTAGTATTAGGGTGATAAGATGATCTTTAAAAGGTCCTTTCCAACCCAAACCATTCTATGAAGATGAATGAGGGACCTGTACTAGAGAAGCTGCTGGGTCTATGTTCTATTAGCCCTGCAAACTCTTGAGCATGTAAAAGGCATGGACATCTCTTTGTCTTTGGCAGCAAAGCAGGCAGAGGAGTGTACTTGGGACTGTATGTTTAGGTGAGAGGTAGAGATGTGAGATGACTTTTAGATAATATTTGGGCTTTTCTGTCCTGAAAAAGCTATATAATGTTTAGCACAAGAACACCAGGAAAACTTATAGTTTGCTTTTGTGTCTTCTTGTTTCTTAAAAGAAACAGAACAAAACAGAAAAACAGTCATGCCCATCCCTCTAAAGAAAAAGAAACCCTCAGCACTGTGTAGCACTATAAGTAGTACTGAAGAAACTGGAAACAGTCACTTACCATTTATTGGATACAACTCTAAGACACCACCAATATCTTCTCCAAGTCCTAGCAATTTGATGATGGTTATATGGCGCAGACCTGTGGAGGAAGTGAAGGAGGTTTTGTGTCAGACCAGTTCTTTCTGCTCATTCTCAGGCAGATTTCAGTTTAATCATTCAGGTCTGTGCATGCTAAATTAAGGGCCAGTCTCAGCAGCCCTTTAGGAAAAAGAGATACTGATTTCTCTGGTGTCTCTGCCAGTCACATGACCTGTCCCAAACATGAGGATAAACTAGTGTTGAATAAATGTGGTATCAGTTGCATAAGAGCTGTTGCCAGTGTCCCAAGGACAACAGCATTTGGTGTGGTTCTGTGGCATAGGGTATGCTACAGTACACCAGTAAATTACAGAGGCCATTACCAAATTCAGAATGTCTCTGCACTGTTTTGGTCACTAGAAAAGCTCTTACTTATCATACATGCAGCAACAAAGTATTTAGAGGCAATATAACCTAGCACAGTTAACTCCAGATGACTGTGGGGAATGACTTAGGACAGGCATTCACTTCTTTCATTTGTTCTGGGTAGAGACTTGGGCTGTAGCCTTTGCTTTGAAGAAAGACTTTGGGGGCTGTAGAAACTGTGTAACATGAGTCTGTATGATCTACAAAATCTTTAAAGTTAACAGTTTTTACAACTTGGAGGTAAGATGTTTAGAAACATATAACTTAGTTAAAACACCCATTGAGGATAAATGCTTTAGGAACTCAGTTGATCTCCTTCAAGCTGTCCCTAACAAAGGATGGGGAGAATTTACTGTTTTGGTTATATTCCATTCTTCAGAAAACATTTTATAGTGATCCATATCACAGTTTACTTTGGTAGCTAGCAAATGAGATGATGCTGATGCTCTGAATGAAAGCCAGGTGGTAATGAATAAATGGATAGGGTACCAGTGATACTGTGCAGATCTCCCTTCAGGCATAATTCAAACATATTGAAATAGTGGCTTTTGAACAGGACCTGTTTTATTCCATTGTAGGAGTCAAGTTTAGGCCCTGTATGGTACTTGCATTGCTGAGAACATAAGTTATGGCGTAAGTCTTTCTGGGCTTCATAATGGAAAGAGAAGGGTGTTTCTGGATCTTGCTCTTATTTGTCTCTTGGAGGAGCCCATCTCTTTCTATTGACTACGTAGCTGGATCTTCAGTACCTAGTTAGGGGGCTGGGAAGGTCCTTACTGGGTTGAAGCAGCTTCCATTAATATTTTTTACAGGCTTTGGCAATGGAGCAGGAAGGAAAAGAAAACAAAATATGATGTCCATGCATCTCTCTCATATTTGGCCTAGTTCTGAGCTGGATGTCAGAGGATCTGTCCTTCCCAAAGCGTGGTGCTTGTGTCATTCATTTATGCAGTAAGAAAAAGAAAATACTGTTGATCTTCTGAAGTACAAGCCGAAAGAGCTGTGGACTGCTAACCTTTTCTGCCTCACACAAATTATTCCAGAGAACACCTTGTTTAGCTGTCAGGGTGTTTTGTACTACCTGTTTAGCATAATCTTTTCTATTTGGGTTTGGAGTAGCTACAGCAAACTTTTCAATTGCCAGACTCCTCAGACTGTCTAGGTTCAGACTTGAGCAAAGGAATCCATCACATCACCAGGAAGGATGTGGTTTCGGGGATCAAGAGAATAATTTCTTTTGACTCACCAAAATTGCAAGCTTGTCCACTGAGAGCAGCAAGCTGCTGGGAATAGGCCCAGTCCTCATCACTGGGAGCAGAGATCACCACCAGCCGCCTTCTCCATCGGAACCTGGAAAGAGAAGAGTGTGACAGGGCACAGTCATGACATGTAACTCAAGTCCTCTCAACATTTTTGTTCTCTGTAGGCTGAGATAATATCATACCTCTCACAACTTCTAAGTAACAGCTGGATGGGAGATCTTCCCAGATGTATCCATTACTAGGAGAGGATAAAGCCTGGTTTGAATTTTACAGCTCCAAAGCTCTGAAAGAAACATCTGCAGTTTCACTGTTTTGCCAAACAAACACTGCAAAGCTTATGGTCTTTGCTCAAAGCCCCCTTCAGTACTTACAATGATGCTGAGAAGTATATATTCAAGGGAAAGAAAGAGTCCTGTAGAATTTCTCACTAGACATTCAGCTTTTATGTCATTCACCACTGCTAGAACTGCACAGTTACTTTGCAGTCCAAGAGCTGTCTGAGAATCTTCATTTCAGACATAACTCATACTTAAGTGTAAATATTCACTGACCTCTCTTTCTTCTATAACTTTCTCAAAATACCAGTAACATGGCTTTAAATCTGAGCTTGTTTGTCTGTGTGTAGCTGTGTAAGCCTGTGGCTAATAAGGCATGTTTGGGGCAATAAGATAAATCTTGGATTTTTCTTTAATATGGGATGCCATGTCTGACCAACCTCCTGCACAAGGAGCACCTTTCATTGTCCTCTCAAAGAAAGGCAATGCCATAAGGACACTTGAAACCTTTAAAAATTCTAAATATAGGGGCTTTTAATAATCTCCAAACCACCCCTTTTTTGAATAAAGGTACTACTCCATTAAACCTAAATAAATCAGATTTAAAGGAATTTGCAAAGCTGCAGGGATTTTTTTATAGCAGGAAATGGTCTTTTAAATGGATGCAGATGTTACTCCGTTATAATAATAGCCTGCCTTTCTACAGCACCATGTCAAGATCTTAAAATAAAGGCTAATGTAACGGGTCAATTCTGTTCCATTTGAGAGAAGTAGAAAATACGGTGAGACTTGCTTGAAGTCACAGAAATTGCTGAAAGAACAGAGGGTGATGATGTCTTTGTCTTCTTGACTGACTGATACTGCATGTATTTTTGTAATTAAAAAAGAAAATCCTTGAACAGCAAAGTTCCTCAATTTTAATCTTGCCCAGGAGGAACAGCAAAGAGGCAAAGTTTCCATGTGCATGCTGGTATGTGAATAGGAATGAGAAGTATTAAGAATCACATATGTGACGTGAAGGAAAGGAGTGAAATTTTGTGTTGTTATTCTGAAAACAGGGAAAAAATAATCTTTGTGATATTTTGTATAGCTTAAGCATCTAGCCACCTATAAACAATGACTGAGAATGTAAACACTGGAATATACTTTGTCTAAAGCATAAATCAGAATGGAATCTTATCTGTGAGCTGCTTTAAGATACTCTAATTGCTTTCTGGTTTTTTGAGTATCTCTTTTGGAGATGCACAGAGATGAAAAGGGTTGAAAGCCACTTAAACAGCTTATCCTTCTGCTCCAGGTATTCTATATACCTGGTGTGCTTGTCTAGGGCTACATCTTACTGAGAAATTCATTCAGTTGGTCCGTCACAGTTGTTAGTTCACCATCTCTAAGGTGCAAATTTATGCCTTATTTCTGACATTAGAAGCCACAGGCCAATACTCCTGTCCTGACAAATCTGCTAGACCCTTCCCTATGTGCATCCTTTCTTCCTCTTCTACTTACTTTGCATCCCATTCTTGTTTGTGAGCCCAGAGAGCAGCACAGCCAGTGTCTTGGTGTGACAGGGGACTGCCCCCCTCCACTCCAAACTCAAGGGTCTTCTACTGATACATGTGGCTTTTAAGGATTATTCAAGCTGGCTCTGGCTCTCATGGTCTTCTTTCACACCAGCCAGGCTTGTTAAGAAAAATATTTCCATTATAATAAATGACCAACGCAATGAGCAACACCAGAGAGATGAAGCCAGGACTCTTGTTCATCTGAGAAAATACTTTTGGACAAAGCTGGAACGAATCTTGCTGGGAATCTGAGCAGTTAACATGGCTAGTGAAGTCCACCCGATATTTAAAGCCTTATGCTTGTTTCACAGACAACAAATGCATTTTGTGCAGTGGCAGTTCTGTTTATAGATGCAACATTCTGCATTTTTCCTGCCTGTTTTTCTAATGTATGTTTATTACTAGGGCTGTTTCCAAGCAAAGAAGGATTTGGGTCCTGTCACTTTCCAGCATACAAGCTCTTTCTTGTGTGGGTCAGCTGTTTCCAAACTGTGGTTCTTCTTGGTGGTCTTGAGGATGAATCACTGAGCTCTAAACAGGAGGTGGTGAAGTGGGTGGAGTGGATCTTGTTAAAGGTTCTCTTTCTGTTGAAGCGGCCATCAAATTTTAAAATGTTTATGAACAGAACCTATTGATTTGCCTGTTGCTCCTTTCTCCTTCAAGTTCTAATCCATCATGCCACCTCAGTTATTTTTATAGCCCTCTGACATTAACAATGTATTCTCTTGGATTCTGATAGTAGGTAAAGAGGATGCAATAGTTACAGGTAATGATGGGGTACATCATTGTACAATGTACCTACAATGTACCTACAATGATGGGGTAGCCCTAAGTTTTAGTTTAAATTATCCTGAAACAGAGAGGGCTATAGCTGCACAGCTCTTCTGTAGATCTGAATTCCCACAGTCCAGACATGTTTATTGCCTGGAATTTAGGTCTCGCAGGTAGAGCAGTAGCACGGCATGTAGAGATTGCATAAACAAAGCAGTCTTTCTGCAGAAGGTCTCTCAAACATTTTGCAAGAGACATCTGCAAGACCATTAATAATATGCATGACTAATACTTGCGAAGACCAACTGTTATCTCAAGTAGGATAAGAAAGAAGTTACAGTGAATTAATTACTGATCCAGGCTACATGGAAGGGATTAGAACGGGATTAATGAGATTGTAATGGTTGATGACTGAAACACATAAACACCATGCTTCATGCATTCAAAACACTAAGCTAGCATCTGTGAACTAATCCTTATTTGCTCTTCTAATGCAAATCAGTGGTATTATCTCCATGTCATGGCGGGGGAACTGAGGTACAGAAAGTTAGAAAGTGCAGTCAGTCAGGAAACAACATGCATCCTGACTTCCATTGCTCTGTACAAGACTGCTATGAAGCTATGGCTACATCTCTGTGTTTGCTTAACACTGTAAATACTGCAAAATACATATTACAGAATCACAGAAATAGTTGGATGGGTATTTTTCCAATAAGACAATAATTATTAGAACTAGCAGCAGATAAGAACAGAAAGTAATACCTGGATAAAAAGCTCTCAAGGGATTGCTTCTTATCTTCTTTGCAGACAATGCCCTCTTTTTTCTGTCTTTCCATGTCTTTAATTCGTGACTGGAAGGTGTCAATCAGATCAAATACAGACTTCATTGCTATGGGTACTTCATAGTATTGCTATTAAGAAAAAAAAACAGAGGGTTATAAGGATGCATGTATTAGCAGTCTTTCTGCATTTATCACAGCACTGCAGGATATATAGACATTGAAGTATTCCTATTTACACATGGGTAACAAGGCCTAAAACAGATTAGAAACCATGGAAAATATCATTGGTTTTGCAGTCAGACTGCTCTTTGGAAGCGGCATATTTTTAGTATTTGCCCAATGTGATTAGGCCAGGCCACTGCAGGCAACAATTTGTCTTTATGTCCTTTTGTAAGGCCATTCAACGAGAGTATATGCAACTTGTCCATGTGCAACAGGCTGTCGTCCCTTTAGGTAGCCAAACTCTGTGTTTTAGAATGGCAGGTACTACATTAAAACCCCTGCCAGAGGAGGCTGCTGTTCCTGTGGTGTCAGCTCACCATACCAGCAGAAACTCACAGTGCCCAAAATCCTCCAACTGCAGAAAATGCAGATAGGTACCTCATTCCTGAAAATTTCGCTTACTGTCATTTTTCTTGTCCTCCAGCAATGACCAAGTCCTGCATCCATGTCTTATGTGCCTCATATGCAAGCTTGTAGTGTAATTTCCTAAAATTTTCCTTTTTTTCATATTTCTCCAATGCCTTTTCTTTCAAAGAGTCAAAACTCTTACCTTGACCTTCATGTCAGTGTCAGTCAGAACCATGAAGAAATCATTGTAGGTCATCCCATACTCTTTCCTCAACTCACTGATGAGCTGCTGGTCCACAAGATCTTCATCCTCTATCACTTTCATGGGCTTTTCATTGTCTGCAGGAAGGGTAGAAGAGAACAGGAGGTGGAATAGAAATATGTTTGTATTATTTAAACTTTAAAAAAAACCTCAGAATTTAGTGTTTTGGGCAAAAATGTAAGGTGAACTTCAGGTAAGATTTAACTTATGTGGTTCTAAGTCTCCTGCTTTTCTTCAGCAAGTTAATTCCTCCTGTAAGAATTCAGCTGTTTTACATACTTTTGTGGTCTGGGGAAAGTTTGGGTGTAGGTTAAGTTTGGAACTGGCTGAAAGAGTATGGTCTATGTCAGAGTGAATGTCTGTTTATTAGCCAGACTGGATCTAAATATAATCCTGAACAGTCCACTGACAGGCAGATGGGTCTAGGTACACAAAAAGTGACCTTGAGTAACCTTGGCCTGATGTGGAAAATCCTTTACCACTCCAGATTTGTCAAGGAGATGCAGAAATGGATGGTCTGGCAGGGTTTGTGACTCCCTGTCACTCAGGGACACAAGGCTTCTCATCCTCTGCTAAGTCCTCTTCCTCTGAGAGTAGTAGAGGCATGTCTGGAAGCCAGACATAAATCTATAATCAGGCCTGTTGTATGCCAGTCCTGAAATACCCTGGACCTGGTGTGGTCTTGAGCTTCCTGTTCCATCACACATCTCTTCCCAAGGTCTGGTAAAACCAGATGAACTTCCAGAGGAAAGATGTGGTGGAGTTATAAGCAGAACTAGCAGCTTTTGTACTAACTTTTTGCCTACGTCCAGCAAAGCATTTATGGTGGTGTTAACCTTTAGATGCAGAGAGCAATGAGATTGTTTACATGATTCAAGAGACACCTAAACTTAAGTGCTTTGCTGGACTGAGACCTGAAGTCTTTCTCCAAACCCTACTATTACGAAAGCAAAGATTCTCATTGGCTTTGGTGGGTGCTTCCCCAGGACCGGAACACTGATACCAGTTGTTTCAAAGCTGCCTAAGTGAGATTGGATGCCCAGTGTCACCTGGCTATATGGGAACTCTGTATGTAAAGAAGGTGGTACTAAACATTGCTGAATTAGCTACTTTTCAAGTACTTCATAGTCTGATTGATAGTGTCTCCAAAACCTCTGGCTTCAGTGAGATGAACCTCTTTACAATAGCCAGCAATAAGCAATAAGCAGTGACACTGATAGGTATCTTGCTTCACAGGTAAAGAGAGGCAATAGGACTTCAAATAATAAACCTTTTAGTATCAGGTATGCTGGTCAAATTTGTAAGGCTGTCCATACCTAAAGGCTATGGTTGAAATCTTCTAAATTAGTATCTGTCTACCAGTACAGAGGGGAAAGTGTGCCTGGACCTCTCTTTACTGTGGAGGAGAATACTCACTTTGTGAACATACCAAAATCAGCTCTTAAGCCTAGGAAAGTTGATCCTGGGAAGGAAAGGAACTTGCACCAAGGGGTCTAACTAGCATGCTTCTCTCTGTCCTGGGTTTAGCCAGTGCATGCTCCTGCAAAATGAAGCTTTTTTCTTTTACTTTTGCTTGAAAGAGTCCAGCGCAGAGCCACAAAGATGACTGAAGGAGTGGAGCATCTCCCTTATGAGGAGTGGCTGACGGAGCTGGGTCTCTTTAGTTTGGAGAAGAGGAGACTGAGGGGTGACTTCATTAATGTTTATAAATTTGTAAAGGGTGAGTGTCAGGAGGAAGTAGCCAGGCTCTTCTCAGTGATGTTAAATGACAGGACAAGGGGCAATGGGAGCAAGCTGGAGCATAGGAGGTTCAATCTGAACATGAGGAAAAACTTTTTCGCTGTGAGGGTAACAGAGCACTGGACCAGGCTGCCCAGAGAGGTTGTGGAGTCTCCTTCTCTGGAGACATTCAAAACCCGCCTGGACGCGTTCCTGTGTGACCTAGTCCGGGTGATCCTGCTCTGGCAGGGGGGTTTGACTGGATGATCTTTCAAGGTCCCTTCCAACTCATAATATTCTGTGATTCTGTGATCCCATGACCTTGTGAGGAGTGCAAAGGCATCAGAAAATGTTATGTGGCAGAACAGGTAGATAATGATCTTGAACTTCAAAATAAGATTAACTTGGGCCAAATTTTGAATATAATCCCAAACAGTTCCTCTCAGCATTTCTTGCCCTCAGTTTCCTCTCCTTCATGACAACAGGCAGTTTCTTTAAACAGTGTTCAAATTGTGTTAGCCAGTATCTTGCCACTCATAGCTAATGTACTGCAAAAGCCAAGGGCAGGGGAGGGGTGGAATTGTATTGGGGCAGCTGTTTGATTAGACAGTGAGGTTGGCATTCAAGATATTGATAGACCTGAGCCTAATTTCCTCTTTCTGACCCATGCCCTTATCACAACGGATTTAACAGACACAAACTGGAACACAGGAAGTTCCACTTAAATTTGAGAAGAAACTTCTTCTCAGTGAGGGTAACAGAGCACTGGAACAGGCTGCCCAGAGAGGTTGTGGAATCTCCTTCTCTGGAGACATTCGAAACCCGCCTGGACGCGCTTCTGTGTAACCTCATCTAGGTGTTCCTGCTCTGGCAGGGGGATTGGACTAGATGATCTTTTGAGGTCCCTTCCAATCCCTAACGTTCTGTGATTCTGTGATCACATTTTTCTGCCTTTTCACTGTTTTACTGGCTTTTAGAATTCTCACAAAAACAAAGGTGCTCAACATGGTAAATACCAGAGAGACTTATGCAGGACTAATGGGTTTGAAAGTGCAACTGGACCACAGCAAATGATCTTGCTTAGATCTTCACCCAAGCTGGGGAGGTTTCTCCCTTTGCTGTCTGTATTGTGCCCATGAGACAGAAATAAATTATTAAGAAAAAAGAACCTAGCTGGAAGTGGTCAATTTTCATGCTGCTGTTGTTCATGGAGCCAAAAATTGTAATGACTGAGATCTTCCTTGTTGCCATCTTGCAGAAGCTTTCCAAATATTCATCTCGCTGCTGTACATACATGGTGTTGTCCGCCTTGGGGGTTGTGATCAGCTGGTTGGTGGCAGAGACAAAAGAGCTCATTTAGTATAAATGAAGCATATGAGTATTTTACCGAAGGAAAAAAGTCTGCAAACTGAGTTTTCTTTTCTGTAGACCTATTGACAGCTCTGTAGCCTTATTTTATTTATTCATGATTAGAGTGTACCTTTAGGCCCGGGCCTTACACAAGGGTGTTCAACCAGCCACAGGAAAACCTTAGGCAGCATGGCCAGCTGGTGGCACCAGCTTCTCTGCTGCCTTTCCACAGTGCTGGTAGAAGAAATGGCACTGAATATCACAGAAAATCATGTACTCTCCTATTATCCCTTGCCCTGCCAGTCCTGCCAGGTCTCCCTCACAGACTTCAGTAGTGCCATGAATCTAGAATTCCCCCCACTCACTCACAGTGGGAGCACTGGAAACATGACAGCTGCTCTGGCCTCATCCCATGGTCCAGGCAGGGCTCTCAGGGGCTGTTTTGACGCTCAGGGGCTGAGTACCGCTAGAGATACATGAATACTTCTATAACTAATGGTGATATAAGAAGACCTTGAAGGCTTGCTAGGGCCACTGTGACCTCATCTGAAAATTGCTGATATAGCTTTTGCTTGTTCTAAGCCACTTTGATGTCTTATGGAAGTTACATTTGCTGAGAAGGCGTGGCTATGTGGGAAGAACAGAAGGATGAACAATTGCAACAATAAGAGTATAAAAATATCTACTGTTTATAGTACTCATTTCAAAGCCTCCTAACAATTGCAAAGATTTAACTTTTTAAAAGTTTAAAGCACACCACTTACATCCTTCATCCTTCAGTGACTGGGATACAGACATCCCAGGGAAGGTGTGTATGTGTAACAACATGCAGTAGTCCTCTGCAGCAGTTTTCAGCAGAAGGTGAAGAGGAATGCTGCAGTTCCTGCAGTGCTTGTTCCATTCTAACTGGCAGCAGTGAACTGCAGTCAAGCACCGGCCACCAATCCCCCAAACACACAGGGAGCTGGAATCTGGATCCAAATTTTACGGTTCAGGGTCATAAATAATCACCAGACTCTTTCAATTGCAAACTTATGCTTCAGTCTGTAACAGGTGCAAACATCTTCTAGCTGACTTCTTAAGTTTGCAGGCCTGGAGGCTAATTTTTATGACATACTCCTTATAAATCCAGTTCATCAATGTACTGAAATGTAAGAGGCATTCCTGGGCTTATAAGATCTCCCTCTCATTTATGCAAAGCCCCCCTAGGAGGACTGCAGCATTGGGACATGAAGGTGAATGAGAGCCAGACATAACGAGGATTTGATTTCTGGGCCATAACATGTAACACGTTGCTTTTAAATTGCACAGAAATGCTTGAAATGAAAACTGATCATGAAAAGGATTTGAGAACTGAGATCAAAACCAGACCATTGGTTTGTATTGTCTTCCTAGTTTCAGAGGCCATAAGCAGGAACACACAGTCAAATTTGAATTTCATTGACTTCATCAAACCTTGTAGAACAAATCAGGAAACATTTAAGAGGCAAAGCAAACTTCAGATCACAGCTTTGTACTAGGACTGTTTTAAGCCAGGCAGTATATACACTGTATCTATCTGTATTTGCATGCACATGTGTGTGCATATATATGCGTGTGGGTATAAATGGAGTGTTATATATCAACTCTCAGTCTGCATTTCATCATGACAGAGAAATAAACAAAAAATCCAAACTCACTAAGCCAAGATTTCTCAACATTAGTAAGACTGCAATAAAAGCCTCATTATAGAGAGGTGGGGCTGCAGGACTCAAAACCCGTACATTTTTTCTGCAGCTGAGTGCGATACTTGGCATTATTTGAACTTAACCCAGAATAGCCTTCCAAATTCTGGATGTTTGAAATTCACACTGAAATCTGCAATCTGAAAGCCTTAATGATACATAGCACTTAAAATCCCACATCTCTTTCAAAAGACTTTTGGGAGAGGACGGTAACAACGTCCTTGGGAGCCAGTCTATTAAAGCAGCTGAAAGACAGAAGTATAGCAAAACAATGGGGAATAACTCAGGTAGGGCCACTTCTGTAACAGTGTGGTCTAATTCTCTAGAGAGGGCATTGAAAGACTCATGAATGGCAGAGTTCATTCAGCTGGAAGGACTGATCCCAAGGCAACTGAAGAGTTTGATAGGAAGGGATGCAAACAGGCATGTGTGTGGCTTCAAAGAAGCCTGAGAAGTTCTTTGTTTTTCCACATGTGCCATGCATGGCAAAGAGATAGTAGAGATCAGCCACTGCTTTTACTGATGACCAAATCAAACCTATTCTCCTTGAAACTTCAGGCAAGCAGGCCGAGAACGGTATTAGATTCTGGAAAAGTGAAGTGCAGCGTGGCATGATCATTTGTCTTCAGTGAGTTTTGGCCTAACAACCTGAGATTGTGAAACTCTGTTCTTGGAGATCCAGCTGATGGGTGGCCTAGTATCAGAAGGTTCAAATTTCAGAGCAGGCTTTAAGTTGCCAGGACTGTGCTGCTGTAGCAGCCTGACATCTGCAAGCTCTGCTTTTGGCTCTTTTTTCAATTTTGTTTTTATTTGTCCTGATACTACACATATTCTTGGAAGCCACAATGTTGAGATATATGAACAAATTTGAAAGATCCCTAACTTCTGTGCAGTTTCTCTCTCTGAGCTTTTGATTTGGCTAAGTATTAGTTAACAAGTAACTCACAGGCATTATTTGCAAAATTCAGTCAAGTTCAGATTTTTCAAATATATGGCTTTTCTCCACTTCCAGCATGTTGGGGAATGCAAGTCTGCTAGCTCTGCACAGCGCCTAAGCTGTAAGAATGGGGAGGGGGAGAAGAAAGTTGGCTTCTGCTCAGGTCTGTGAATCATCAACAAAATGATTAATTAAATTCCTATGGTTGAAATCTTAGCTTGGCATCTTAGCTATTTGGATTGGAATATGGGGCATGAAAGGCAAAGCTATGTTTGTCACACTGACTATTGGACAATAACTGTGAAACAGGCCAGCTTGAAGTGGAACAGTTGCAAGAAACCAGCTCCCACAATAATATTTTTAAAGAACTGTTTTTCAAAGTATACCTTTCAGGGTATGTGCCATCTGCCAGAAAAAACATTTGTAGTACAACTAAAACTGTTTCCTGTCCCAGGTGAAGTGTTTTTTTAGATAAGTAGTTGGAAAAACATACAACACTATTAAACCCTGGGACAAGTAACTCCAGACCATGCTGTTTCACAGGCTTGAAAACCATAGTGTTACAGTTTAATAAAAACAGCAGCAGGGGAAAACCAAAACAAAAAAAAGAAGATTGTGCAGGATCTCTGAGGATGCCTAGGAGATTTGAATGCCAAATTCCTATCAGAAAGAATAGCAAATATAACAATCCTACCTCAGGGCATCTGATCATATGCCTTTGTGCATATCCTTGGTCAGACAGGCACTAGTGCTGCCAAGCCACCCGGCTTGCTTCCAGTTTTAGGACACCAGCACCAATATAAAACAGGTGTGCCAGCTGGCAGGACATGCTGAGTGTTGAAATGTGGTAACATTGGCAAGTACCCCAAAGCAATGAATGGATGTAATCCACACTGGAACTTCATCATAACTATACAGATCCTGACACTTATATATCCACTGGAAACAAAATAATCTGATAGCTATATGGTGGCTCATAGAAGTAACTGATAAGAGCTTTTAGCCCAATTTCTGGCTGACTGATGTTCATACTGCATGTAAGATTTCCAACATGAGACTGCAGAACATTCCCTTTTGGAAATTATTGTTTGGATCTAGAAATTTTACCTCTTAATCAAAAGCACTCAAAAAGAATAATACAAAACCACCATAAACTTTCTGTTCCACATATTTCTACTAGGAGGGAAATATGACATCATTTATGTAATAATATTCAGATGAACAAGTTACTTACAATGAGCCGCCTTTTGCCTTCAAAATATTCCAAAAGGTTGGCTGCCGATTTCCTGGGAGGCTGTAGGAAAGGCTTCTTGTTTGGCTTGGGGAAATCCTCATTTTCAGTCCTGCTCCCCTTCTTGTTCTTCTTGCTGCGGTCTTTGTCCTGCTTGCTCTTTTTCTCTGCTTTGTCCTTCTTGGATTGCTTCTCACTCTTGTGCACCTTGTCAGGTCTGTCCTTCTTCTTCTTCTTCTCGGGTTTATCCATTCGCTCATGCTTCTTTGATTCTTTTCCTTTCTTTGGGGGAATATTTCCTGTTGCAATCTCTTCCTCTAAATGGGAACTGGCAGGCTTGCTCAGGTCATATTTATCTTCATATTCATTGCTCAATATCTTTTCTTGAGCCTTCTTTTTTGGCGATTTAGTCTTAGTTGGTTTGTGTTGTCCTGGTGTGATGTTCAGGTCTCTATGGTTATAGTCCTTCCTGTCTGTTCGGTTATCTTTAAATCTGCCCACATTTGCCTTTGTGTAGTGCACTGAGGGAGCTGTTGGGACTTCTGTGAAACTGTCATAGTGGGCAGCTTTGCTTGGTTTCCTTGTGGCCAGCAGGTGTTTCTCTGGGTGGCTGCGCTGCCGGTCCCTGCGGTTTGCCTTCCACACAGGAGAGTAGAAATCCTGAGAGGCTGTGACTCGTGGTGTCGTGGCATCAGGGCCTACTGGCAGCCTGTGGTACTCTGTGGTGGAATGTGACTTTGTGGTCCAGGTCCTCTGCGTGGTGGGGAGGGGTGTAGTTGTTGTCGTAGACCGACTTGCTGTTGTCACTGCACGGGTGGTGGCACGGGTAGTTGTAGTGGTGGGAGGGAGGGTAGTGGTCCTTACTGTAGGCAGAGGAGTGGCCACTGTGGTTGTCATTGATTTCCTCACTGTTTTGGTCCTTGTGGGCTGATTATTGCTCCTCCTTGGCTCCTCCTTCCTTGCTGACACCTGGACATGTCCACCACCATGGGTGCTGCCCCCATTATTGCCATCCTCAACCACTTGTCCCTCCACCCCAGCTGCTTTGCAAGTCTGAATGAAGCCCTTCTGTCTCAGCTTCTCAATTTTTCTGATGGGGCTCTGATCAATAACTTCATACATAGCCTCTAGCCTGACTGGATAAGGATACCTTTCCTCCACCTGCAGAGTTTTCTTCAACAGCACCATGCCAAATTTCCCCTTCTCTAGTTTCAGAAAGCTCATGAGCTTAGGTATGAGTGCAGGATCTAGTGGCTGCTCCAGAATTTTTCCTTCGTTGGTTATCCTTCTGACTTTTCCCCCTTCTTCCCCTTCTTCATGGAACATCACAATCTGTTGGATGTGCCTCTCAGCCAGTTCGCAGTAAACATCGTTTTTCAGCAGGCTCATCATGAGCCGGTAGTATCCCTCAGAGGCATGGGGGGCAGAAATGACCCACACCCGATTTTTCCCAGCAAAGCTGGCCAGGACATTGGGAGAACTTGACCCTGATGGGAAACGTACCACTCGTGACTGTGAGGCAGGGGATATCCCTTCATCCTTAATCATCTCAGACCTGGAGTATTTGGCTGCAGCTGTGAGTCTCTGTACCCGTCTTGTTCTGGTCCCCATGCCCCTGGCCTGGGAATGCGCTTCCCCTTGCAGGAGATTGGCAGGTGCCTTTGGAGGTGCTGAAGAATCCCTCTTAGTCACAGGGTGTTGGGGATTCAGGTTTGAATTCCTCAGGGGTGCTCCAGACCTTCTCAGGAGGCTGCTTGGAGCCCTGTAAGCCAGGGGCACTTTCTTAACTCTATGGCTCCCTCTCTCTGCTAGCCTCCCTGTCTTCTCAGAGCCACACACTAGCCATGCTGCCCACAGCAGGGATAAACTGAGAGCTCGCCTCCAGTTCATTGTGCAATCTGCTTGAGGGCAGAAGGAGAAAAAGTTAGATGTTAACAGTATGATGATACCTTCCACAAATGATGAAAAAGCAAAGTACAAGCTGACTAGTTTTTGTAATTTACAAGTGCTGATTACACCTCAGTCCTGCCCTGGTGGCTTTGTACAGTTTACAGTTATTTTTGGAAAAGCACAAAATGGATCATTTTTCACAAAAATGAGATCATCTGTCGGTAACATGACTCTGTCTATCCAAAAGGACACTGCATCCTTCTCTCTCTCTGTCTCTCTCTCATGCTCTCACATACACACATGCAAGCACACACAGAGAAAGGGTCCAGTATGTAAAGCAGAAAGCCAAGAATTTGACTTAAGACTTACACACTCAGCGAAGTTCCCCTTCCAGCAACGAGGTTTCACGTCTTTTTCCTTTAAAAGGAGACCAATGCCATACAGCTTTGCTGCTGCCCAGTGATTTATCTGTACACAGACCAGCAGGTCCCAGAGCCTGTCCGTCTCCCTGTGTATCTTTTAACTTTTTCTTTTTCACTTTCTTGACAAGCAGGATGAGGGTAGAGGAAATTTCCTTTGAGATCTCTGCCTCTCCATTTACCTGCAGTTCTGGCTTTGTGCTCTATCGGTTACCTGCACAGGCAGGGATTTCATTTACGAAAAGGGAAATCCCAGCTGCTACAAGTCTTCCTCGTTTAAACTTCCCAAGCCTCCTTCCCACCTCCTCCTTCCACAGTCCCGTTTAGCTCCTTTGTTTCCAGAGAGGAAAGCACCACCATTAATGTATTTTCCAGGCTGAAGAAAAACACAGGAATGTGATGCTGACAAAAAAAGGGCGCTTCCCTTTCCCCTTTCTCCACACTTCGACAAAAGCAAATGGTAAAAGACTGGTCTTTTCTTCTTCTTTCCCTTCTTGGCTGGCCGCGGTCCCAGAAATGTCAGGGCAACCCCAGCCCTGCTCCGAACCAGCTTCAGACAACGGTGGCCACTGGGAATGGGGGAAACTTCACTCAGGATTTAACAGCTCAGCAGAACCCGCCTCCTCCCCACTCCGAGACAGGGAGGGAGGAGGAAGAGGAAGGCTCTGGGGGCTGAAACACTGCACAGCATCATGGAGCACTTCAGAGAGGGTGACTCCAGGCTTAACCCTTTCCATCATGCATCCAAGCTCTCTGGCGCTCCCTAACCTCGGCTTTCTCTTTCCTCCCATAAAACCGGCACTGTCTGGATAAAAAATAATCCTGTGAGAAGTGTGTTTCCCTGTCAATGTCAATAAGAGCTCTGGTGTTTAAGAGTTACTGTTTTTTAACCCCATTAGTTCTGCCTCCTGTTCTTCTTTTCCTTGTTTGTTTGCTTACTGGGAGCTCTCCAGTGAAATCAAATTTCTCATCACTTTCCTACCAAATTCTGTTTCAGGTCCTCATGTATGTTGGTATAGTCTATTCTGCAAACATCATATGGGTGTGTCTGTTTTTTAATATGTATTTTTTCAAAAAATTAGGCTGTTTATTATTGTATTAACATTAGAGCTGCATGTATTTCCTATGAATGTATATTAGCAGGGGAAAAAAAAAAGATATATGGTGCAAAAATAACTAAAGATACATGGGTAAAAACAGGGTCATGTCCTTTGCTCTCCCTTCCTGGTGTAAATGACACCATTCTATTGAGCTGACGTAAACTGGCACAGCTATGCTGCCAGCACCTGGTCTTTAGCCAATTCACACTGGCTTCAGTGTGACAGGCACCTTCAGGGTAGAGTACCACTCAATTGTAGTTGAAGGGTAACACCTAAATACATCCAAGGCCTTAACACTACTTTTACTGTTTTCCAAAATTTCACTTATTTACAGAGAGGCTGTTACATTTCCATGATAACATACTGGATTTGACCTCAGTTACCTTGCTAAGGAGGAAGTACCTTCTACTTGGAATTAATGTTTCAAGGATAAAAACCTCTTTATTTTCTTTCTCTTTTTCCTTATTTGCTTCATTTTTACTTTAAATTTTCCAGTGCACTGGTAAACATTAGTAGTGGTTTTGCTAATATGTGTCCACAGTTTGCATTCTGTGGCCAGTGGTTTGCCCTGGAGGTAGAGGAGGATGCTGAGTGCCTGTGCTCACATTAACATGAGTGCAAAAATGCACAACCCCTCCCATAATATCATATCCTACATCAGCTGGGAAGTGAGAGTATTATACCTCTCACAAGGACCACAAAACAGGAGCTCTGCAGAGCCACAGCAGGTAACATTTTTCACTTATATTAGTGGCAGGTCTGCTGGTTTATTAATCTTGACAAGAAAAAAAAGGTCTCTAAACATTACACTTTTCAATGTGGCCTTTTATAGAAAATATAGTTCAAAATTATGTTTTCATTTAAATGTTTCCTCCAGTTTTGTTACAAACATTAAAATAGAAGTGACCCTAAAAAGCTGAAGACAAGTGTTTAATTTGAGGTAAATAATTTAAAAAACTCCAAACTAAATTACACCCATTTTCTTGTTGTTAGTGATAGTTTGAAACCACACAGAAGCAAAATATCATTTACCTGCATATGCCTAATGGAGCCAAGAAAAACACAATACATAACAAAGGAAAGAAACAGTTTTCCTTATTATCTCTGCTGTCTATTCTATCTAATTATAGATACACCAAAGAATTTCTGCGAGGACTTTGCTTTGCTCTCCCCACCTGATTAAGAGAATGTGCTACAGAGTCTGTCTTAAGTTTATCAAAGGGTGGCAGACCAGTGAAGATGATAGATTGTACAGCTGCTGAAGGGAGAGACTAGCACAAAACAAGACATGGAGCCATGGAGATTATTTCCAAGGCTGATGCTTCTTAGTATCTTTATCTGAGGTGAGGAATAAACTTAAAATATTTGGCATCAGAATTTCTTAGAAAGTAAGTAATTTATACAGGCCAACACAGGACTTTTGGTAAAGTGAACATATATGTTAAAGGACAAATACAAGGTCACACAGTAAGAAGCAAAAAAAAAAAGGTGCAAAACATGCGTAAGATAAAGAACAATATCCTAGAAGGCAGCTGTTCTGTAAGGGACTTAAAAGTCACAGTCTGGAAGGTGCTGGAAATAAGCTTTTGGTGTGATGCTGCAGCGAGGAGGAAGTCTGCCAGCATGTCAATGAGAAGTTAGGAAGTCATATGTAGTAGCAATAAGGGGGTTACTGCCATGCACAACAAACTTTTCAAAAGGATTGCAAATGGTTCAAAAAGTGACCTAATGTTTGGATATGATCCCATTCATAGAATAACAGAATTATAGAATCATTTGGTTGAAAAAGACCTTTAAGATCGAGTCCAACCATAACCTGTCCACTACTAAACCATGTCTCTAAGCACCTCATCTTCCTGTCTTCTAAGTACCTTGAAGGATGGTGACTTGACCACTTCCCTGGGCAGCCTATTAATGCCTGATAACCCAATTTCAGTGAAGAAAGTTTTCCTCATATCCAACCTAACTCTCCCCAAGCACAACTTGAGGCCATTTCCTCTCATCCTATTGCTTGTTACTTGGAAGAAGAGGCCGACCTCCACCTTGCTACAAGCTCCTTTCAGGTAGTTGTAGAAAGCGATAAGGTCTCCCATCAGTCTCCTTTTCTCCAGACCAGACAACCCCAGCTCCCTCAGCTGCTCTTCATATGGCTTGTGCTCCAGACCCCTCACCAGCTTCATTGCCCTTCTCTGGACTTTGAAATGGTGAAAATAACTACATGGAAGGCACAGTCACAGATTGGTCAGGATCTTCTTATGCATACACAGGAAAGAGACTTCAGAAATTAAGTAACTTTTTAATCCAGCAAAGGCAGGCAGAAGGATAGCCAGTGATTAGGAATTAAATCGTGATGAATGCAGACTTGAAGTAATTGCAATTACTTGCAATTATTTAAATAATTATCTCAGTTTAAATAAAGATCTCAGTTAACTCTGGGATAATTTCCCCAAGAACGTGGTGGTTTTCTGCTGCTCAGTCTTCAAGCCTGTAAGAAACGTTCTTGGCTGGAAAGGAAGTCATGGCAAAAGGATGGAATGAGATCCCTATGGACACATCTATACAGGAAATTTGAGATCAAAACAGCACCCACCTCTGAGAAGTGCAGTGCTCTGGAGGTTTATGGAAATGAATTCTCTAGCCCACTAAACTGACATGAGCAACTTCAGAAAGGTGAAATCAAACATACAAACCCTGTAGCCCTCAGAGTGGTTTTAATAAGGAACTGAAAGTTAATGTTAGGTCCACAAAGGTAAAATATATATCTGTTTAAGGTTGACACCACTGCAAGTCTTTCTGTGTTCTGCTTTTAGGTATCAGACTTATATATATATATATATATATTTATATCTCAAGTATACCAAGGGGTGTATGCACAGCTATTTTCTTTCAGCTGCTAAGGAATTAAACGGAAAGTCAGATACCTCCCAAACTAGGTTTCTTTCTCGGTCCTACAAAACCTGGAAAAATAAGGTAGCAGCAAGAAGGAGACAGCCAGAGATATGAGTGGGAAGAACTTTCTTTTTCAACAGGCTTCCAGGCAATCCTCCAGCAAGCAGGGGAGAAACTGCTTATAAGGAAGGTGAAAGAAGGGTGAAAGGAGGCAAGGGGTTGGGCAAACTGGCATCAGCTGCTTTAAACAGTGCTGGGGAGCTGGGAGCCAGATAAGCAGGTGTAGGTTCCCCTGCTGATGCTGGTGGGGGAGTTATTAGAGTAGTGAGCACGGAGCCCAAATCCTGTGAAGTCAGACATTGTTGATGCTCTATGAAGGGACAGGTTTCTTGAACCCCGCTGGCTCCTCACTTTCCTGAGAGGGGAGGAGGCTATTCTTAGTGATCTGACTGGGGTCATAACCCAGCCAGCAGCTGGGGAAATAACAACTCATAGTGTAAACAGGGGAACTATGCTGCAGCCCCCTGTATGTAAGCAGGAAAAGAAGTCAGTACAGGGAGCCTTGCAAAAGCAGTGACCCGTAATAAAAAGAGCAGTGCCTGGTTAGTCAGATCAGGCTCCTAAAATAGAAAGGCACTTTTCATAAATAGGTTGGCCTCATTTGAGTCTTCACTTTTTAAATATACATTTTCTGTGTAGTCCCCAGGAATGTTGGTTTGAAACTGGTGATACAATGTGATACTTCAAGCCTTAAAAATAAATATTACAAACTTTAAATTTAAATGTTTTAAAGTGAGGCTAGGCCTCCTAGGTACTGACAGGGTTGCAACCCCAAAGGTTCAGGCTATATTTGAGACACAGTGAAATTCTGACATCTGAGTGTTATTATTGGCCTGTGCTCAAGCTGTCCCTGAGTTTAGCGCCTCTCCTTGTCCAGTTTACAGAGCTTCCTGGTGAGAGGAAGGCTCTCATATAGACCCATTTCTTGTTCAACATCTGGTTGACATCTGGGATGGAAATGTCAGCCAGGGAGAACAAAACATCTTCTGGCCAGGGCTGACACAAGTTCTACCCCAAACTGACTGATGCAACTGGTGTTATGTACACAAAGATGAAAGTGTTATACATGAGAGCAAATGAATACAACGATTGCCATCTGCCGGCCTTGCAAACAGCGTTATGTAGTCGCAAGCTGGAGAGAGTGAGAAAGCCTTTAGAGTGTGCTGCAAATGTTTTCTTGATGATACAGCTGCTGAGGTGTAGCATTCAGCAAACCACAGAAATAGTCTTGGGATAGGTACAGACAGTCACAGAAATAGTTCTTGAAATGATTAGGAAGAGAAGACTTCATTACCTCCAATCATCAATGAGTGGGGCCAACACCCCCCTTTTACAGCAATGTAATCCCACAGGTAAACTGTACTACTGGCATGTTGTGATGCTGATGTTCAAGGTTGTCCTATGAAGGTGGTTACCTCTCCCAAACCACATGCCTACAGAGCTAAATGAATTTGGCCATGGCAGTGAATTCACCAGCCGCAAGGGCCTGAATTCTCATCTCATTTTTGCACC